GATAAAAAAAGAATTATCCAAATCGGTCCACTAGCGGCGGAGTTATGCCGTAACACACATAAAAAAAAAATAAAAAAAAAATAAAAAAAAAAATATACCGTCGAATTGAATACCTCCTTCTTTTGGGAAGTCGGTCAAAAACGACGAGGTGACCTTGTGTAATTTTTGAATGATGATATCAAGTAATAAGATATGCGTAATGCAATCTTCACTACGCTTTAACGCTAATTGCGTGTCAAATATTCCCAAAGTCGTGTAAGATGCATAATGCATGCCATCTATTGTGTGGCCGGACAGGATGTCTCACGAAATTACCCGCCGATTAGTTTCCCAGTAAAACGGATTCGTATGCAATGTAACATCGAATTCCTTCGCGAGAACAATTGAGATGGAACAGAAATGAAACAAAAAAAATGATGCAATTTGTTAGATTCGTATCATGCAATTACTACATTCGACATTGTTAGTATTTTTGATATCTTATTTCTCGAGTAAGATAAAAATCTAGTGACCTGTACTTCTATACTAATATAACTCGTATGAAGAGAAAAGAATTGTATTTTTGTATGTATTAAAAAAAACTCAAAAAGTACTGAGTCGATTTTAATCTTACTAATATTATAAATGCGAAAGTTTAGATGGATGGATGGATAGATGGATGGATGGATGGATGGATGGATGGATGGATGGATGGATGTTTGTTAGCGTTTGTAGCCTAAACGGCTGAAAGGATCTCTATGAAATTTGGCACAGGTTTAGAGCATAGTCTGGAAGAACACATAGGCTACTTTTTATCCCGGGAATAGTTTTTTAATTTTTACTCGATCATTCTGCAATGGTTCAACATGTCTTATTGAAATTTGGCACATATAAAACAAAGTCTGGAGTACACATGGGATAAGCTTCATCCCCGAGAAATGTCCGGTTCCCGAGGGATACCTAACTTTTTGTAATTTATATAGTTTGTATGTTTTCTAATACCACGCGGTCGAAGTCGCGGGCAACAGCTCGTTTTATATATCTTTGATTTGTAATATTGAAAGAGAAAAAGAATTTTGTCTATGAGCGGGCGCACACTTTCGACTAAACAACACAACTGTTATGCGATTGTCGATTGTTTCGCAGCCAAGTAAACAGTTTAGTTGAACAACTAATAATCGAGAGTGCGCATCTACACATAAGTTTATACAAAGCGCGACTAAACAGTGCGATAGTTTAGTCAAAGGTGTGTGCGCTCTAAATTAATAGACATTTATTTATGGAACAAAAGACGGTCGGTTTGATAATGTCGAGGTACAGTCAGCTACAAGTCATGAGTAATGTTATAGAGACGTCACGTTAGCGTCTCCAGGGCGCGCCTTGCGAACGATCTTTAATTTTCCGTGTCATTAGCCCTGACCGCGAGCCACCCTCCGTACGGGGTGACACGACATTAGTCGCATTGCCTGCCACCAAAATAGACGAAAGTTCCACGTATTTTAATAAAAATACTAAGCCAGCGAATTCTAAGCGTCTAAAAATTCATAGGTTTTTGTCCCTGTTGTGAAAATGGACGAAAAATACTTCATATTTTTCCTTGTACTCGCACAATTGGACGGGGTCCGTACTAAATGGGATAAAAGCGTAACATACGATGGCTTTCTCGGTATATTCAGAGGGACTTTTGTTGACCGCTCGTGTTCCGCCGACCCCGGCGCAATAACCACTCGAATTCAACAAATCGCTCTTCCACCGTGATATTTATTATGCAATGCGAGCTTGCTTCTAGTATTCCTATAACTATTTAAAAAAAAACTTAAGAAATCCTTTCAGTACTTGGATGTACTTTGATGTACGAAAAAGAAAATTAAAATAAGGGTGGTAATAAATCACTTTAAAAAAAGGAAAAATAATAATAATATAATAATAATTTATTTAACTCATGTAACAGAATATTACACATATGGTATTTACAAGAATAATACATATTATATTACATAGACAGATAGAAAAATAGGGGTCTGTAAAAAGTATTTTTTTGTTTAGCCTTATCTTTTATTTATATAAGATAGCTGTTTTTGTTGCTTCTGTACACTCCGTGATATCTTTGAGTTCAAAATAAACAACGAACCTCTAGGACAATCTGTAGGTTGGACGGTATCCGGTATTTAATTTATTTCTTCCTTATTAAGTAGCAAAATTACTTGTAGCCTAGATTCTTAGGCTCGGTGGCGAAACTAATTGCCCAATGGTATTAATTAATCATGCAGATTACTAATTACGGATGCTGTCGGCGTAAGACGTGGCTTTATCAACACAAGCAAACACGCGTGAAATTCACAAGATATGTGCCTTATATAGTATTTTACAATTAACAATCTTCTAGCGCGATTTGAGCTACAAAAAATTGTTCTTGAAACTTTATTCGGTTAGGTTCGTTGCTCTACATATAAGGAAGTCAAGTAAGATAGTACTTATTTATTTATTTAAATCCTGTATATCAACTTTTAAAGCGAAGAAATAAGTTTCATATTTTTTTACAATAGCGTGAGATTTTTAAGCCACCTACACACGATTGCGTTAAAAATGACAGTTAAAACTGAGCATTTTAGCAGACAACTAGCTGTTCCCGTGAAGCTTTATCCGCATGAAATAGTGAACATTTTATTTTGTTGTTTACATTTGTCAAATTATCAATTACAAATGTCAAAATAACATGACATGACAAACCTTGGCAATCTTGCTTCCTTGATGTTGGCAACAACTTATGGTCTGTTTCCCACATTAGGGTTTTTATCCAAAATATTTACCCCTCAGCTTAATGGCGTGAAAATATATAGCCTAAAGCGTGACGTAAGTGTAAGGCTTTTTATTAAAAAAATAATTATTCAAAAATATGCTGTAATTGCTGACATCTTAGGTAACAAAGAAGTGTGGGTTTACGCTTTATTATAATAGTATTTTAGATAGGTGATTTATAGTTGAGAATAAGTTGAGCAAAACTTAATCGTTAATCTTTAAGTTTCTCAGTTAAGTTACAAAAGCTCACTTGACCCGCTACCGAGCATCTGTCTTCTCATTGTCTCAAGTGATTTGTGACTACGCGGCACCTTCTGTGAGACAAGGATGCACATAATCTATGGCATTAGTTAGACAGAGATAAAAGAGCCAGTGTTGATACTAACGATTAATTATAATGGACCACATCGCCTATGGGATGTCGGATCGCTTTTTCCATTTTTATTCTCTCACGGATTCGGAATTCTTGAAATAACATTTCACGCCGAATCCGTAACGAACATCTGACTTGAGTTTGATCTTTTTATATTACTTTAATTAGTCTGAGAAAATGTGAAAAAGTTCACGTCTTTTAAAAAAAATGTTTGTTTTAAAAATGCCACAAGTCAATCTATTCCTTGAACATTTACATATTTATAATTCTATACTAATATTATGCAGAGGACAGATTAGTATTTTTGTATTGTATTGAAATAACTCAAAAGGTATTGGCCGATTTTAAAAGCTACGTTATGGATGAGTAAAATAGGCTAATTATTTTCTACAATTTTAAATTTTGCGAGGACGAAGTCGCGAGCAACAACTAGTAAATAATAAAGACAAACAGCTACATTTATAGTCGTTTTATCGTCATTTAAAGTCCCTCAGGCCTTAGTGTACTTTACAATAAGGTAATGCTTGTGCAACTTATCTGGCAGATACTGCTAGGAAAGAAAATTTAACAAACAAGGTAACAAAAATAGTTTTCGTTCTTGATGTCTACTAGATCATGATAATACAGTCCCAAGAACTGCGAAGTAAGAGTCGTTCACACGTGCGAGATAATCGCAGCGATTACGCAGCGCCACAGCTAGCTCGACGGCGTTGTGGACTGGACATATGCGTCATACAATTCCAGCGATATGCCAACCAGCTCGGAGAAAAGTCTGTCTATTTTAAAATTGTATGAACAAAATCTTTTGTAAAATGATTTTTCAATAAACTAGATATTGGTCGATATTAACATGTCCTTTATTTAGCAACAAAGTATAGATTTCGATTTGAAATAAGCTCATTTCTGGTAGTTAATGAATCCAACTATTTAAAAATCTGTAATTTTGATAACTCAAACAGATAGAAAGCAAACAAAATCAAAATTTGAATTGCAAAATGTAACAGATTATGAAATAGATTTTTGTTTTGACTTGGAAAATATTCCTTTCCTTGTATTTCTTGATTCTAGAACATTCCTTCATTTATCTTCAGATCTTACTATCGTAAGGTAATCTTTGATAAAGTGAGCGGCTTAGAGATAATGATGTAAAGCAAGCATTACACACCCAAAACTTGTCTTCGTATGAATGAACTCCAAACTCGTTCTAAATCTTTGCAGTTAATCAACGAAACTGGACCTTCTTATGACAATTTCACACGAAGGTAGAACATTAAAACTGAACAGTAGATGGTACAGTTGTTGTATAAACACATATCAAATCAATACTGTCCATTTAAACCAAGTAACTTTCAATTAGTTACTTATTTATTACTATACATTTTGTATATTCTACAGGCGACATCGCCAATCAAATGTTACTTTGTCCACGATGTGTTCTGTCTCGGCACGATACGTTATTACGATAACAGAATTGTTCTCTCCTATTCCTTGCCTCAGTATGCCCTCGTGTGAAACTACTTACTTATCAAACATCTGCGTGTTTTCGCGTTGCACCTTATTCAAAGTTATCACTCGCCCAGTCGCAAACGAAAAACTAGTTTAGCATACAAATATTGTAAGTGGGCGAAAAGCTCGCTTAAGATCTGATAGGGGACGCAATTACGTACGTGACACCTTGGCAGCGTGTTAGATAACATCATGATACCTTAGTGTTGGGAGCGCCTCCAATTATTGTTGCCTTCTCTTACCTCGTTATACTGCGATTGTACTAAAAAATAGACTTTTATGTTCTGTACACTCGTCACGGTTTTGATTAAAGTGTCTAGATAGTGTTGTGTTGTTGGTACGTTACACCTCTATTATTAAGTTTGTCGTAAACTTTTATTAGACATAATATATGAAAAGATTATTGCATAAGATGACAGCAAAGCTGCAAATATCATACTAATGTTATAATTGCGAAAGTGTAGATGGATGGATGTTTGTTAGAGTTTGTAGCCTAAGCGGCTGAACGGATTTTGATGAAATTTGGCACAGATGTAGAGATAGTCTGGAAGAACACATAGGCTACTCACTTTTGTTTTTTTATAATACGCGGACGTAGTCGCAGGCGAAAGCTAGTTTGTAAAAACAAAAAAGTTTGTACTAACAAAATTAATGTAAATTACTTCGTTACCTAAAAAGTTATTTTCTAAACATATTAATACGGTTGTGAACTCAAATAAAACAATTTTTCAATAGATTTATCTATATATTTTAATGAATAATTCTCAATTACAGCTGTCAAATTTACAGTCTCTCTTTCAAATAGAAGTAACAATTTTGTTCGATTCCCTCGGGAATAAATGTCGAATTTTTTTAATTTCTCTTTACACTTTCCAAAATTAAAACGTCGATACATTCGAGAAGAAACAAATTTTGTATTTCATTTAAATCTATTTCAAGTTAAACTTTTTAATGTGCTTAAATATAATGAATTCCATGGAAAATTATATTCATTTGTAATTATATATTTTGTATTTTAACTACATATTTATCAACTATATATTACAAACTTTTAACTTAAACTTAGATCTTTTTATCAATCGCTTTTACCTCGGGTGTGTTTATTTGTTGCATTCGTAAACGAAAAATGTTTAATTTTTTTAATAATTTAACAATTAAAATTTTAACCATTACATTTTTTAAAACTAAAATATTTTTTTCTCATATAAATTATCGAATGCAAGATCCAAACGCACCCGTACCTCACAGCACAATTGACAAAACATATTTTCAAAATATGTCAATTAGTAAACACGTAAATATATAAACCTTACAAATTGTATTTACAAAGAAAGCGATTATTTATTAATATTAATCTATTAAAGTGGGAAATTAAATAAATTCGTCCGGCGGAATGAGTATGATGACGTCATCAATACGTCGTCTTCGTGACGTCGCGTTTCTTACGAACTGCTTAAAATTTATAATGCCCTTTTGAATTTAGGAATTAAATCATTGCATTTAATTATATTATAATTAAAATAAAAACTAAAAAAGGTGCTTTAAAAATACTAAATTAATTAAAAATAAAGTATACTCGGTTAAAAAACAAGTTATATGTTAGTATATGAAGGAAAGCCTCCGAAGGATTAGCAATTTTAAGAGTGCATAATATAAATATGTTTATCTCATAATTATATATATTTTGGAGTGTCCAATGTATAGCAAAGCCAGCAAACTAACGGTGGAAATCCTCAAAACATATTCTGCGTCTTTTGGGAAGAAAACCAAAAATAGAGTATTGTTTTTTTTCTTTCATAATAGTTCAGTTCCGAATCTTTAGTTAGTAAAATAAAAAAGTTTTCATTGTTGAATTATAAAGTTGTGTGCTAAAATGACGTCATTTGTCATTCCCAGTTCGCCGGACACTAATTCCTATTGCTATTGTGGAGAACCTAAGGTGATTGTGTCATTCAATGCTAAGTGTAAGTCACGTGAATTATCCGAGGGGCCCGTCCACTGCTCGCTGACCAGTATTTGTTGAGGATACAAATACTGCTCTATTGCAGAGAAATAAAGACCACTTTGCAATAGACGGGAGTTTTAGTGTTTCTATATCATCCATTTATAAATATTAAAATAATTGCTTAAGCCCTAATATCATGCGATTTTATGTAAGCAAGAATAAAGGTCAAGCTTACAATTGGATCGATTTTAAATATTATAGGTAAATAATACAAATTTTATCACAATCTTGACAACTGAGAGCTTAAACGTATGGTTGATATAGAAGCACGGCGCTGGGGGGGGGGGG